AATATTATTTTGGTTTTCTATACATCTTTATAATAATTTTAGACTAAATGTATATATCCCCTAATTAGGTGCAAGTTTTTTTTATATATTTTTTTCATATTATGCTCATACCAAATTTATTATGCGAAACACAAGATTTTATCCAAACTTGATATAAACGTTAACCTTGTCCTTAGATACTTGATACATAAAAGATACAAAAGTCATACATGTTTTACTTCCACAATATTGACGTAGTATGCTATAGTGAACACATACTTACCATGTTTAGATTGTTATAGGAAACAAAGGATATTGCAATGTCATTGTGTTACGAAAAAGTGAAAACACTTATAGACCTATACAATTTTGACGACCTTCTTACTAGCTACCCTTCCTGTTATCGCACGGGAGCAATTATTTAAATGAAGCAAACTGCTTCATTTACGGTCATTTCTGTTGCTATTACTTTCTTTATTATTGACTATAATACAATTTAATAAGTTATAATACATATATATCAAATTAGTATATTATATGGGCTTCTTAATTTCCAATGAAACATTAATGAGTTGGCATGGATGGATGGATTCGATATAATGAAGTTCCATTTATTATAACATCCTAGTACATCGAACGTTATCTATACTAACTCATTATTATGCCGGATTAGTTTGAATTATTTTATTAGTTGTCGTTATGGTACAAGGTTAGTTATTATAGCGAATAAGGGAACAAAGGGAAGTACAGAATGTGGCGAAATCATAAAACAGAAAGATATTTATGCCAAATTTTTGTTTCTTTTATAAAATAGTCATAAACCAATATTCAATTACATGTAATAAATGAAGATTTTGGATAATATCCAGTATATTAGTTATTAGTATTAATAAATTCATTCATTTTATTTATTTAAACTTTAATTTTCCTATGAAGAAAATTGTTACTTATGTATTTGAGCAAGGAATTTCGTATATTTTGAACATAGAATTTAAAGGGGGAGGTAGAACAACAGTGGAGATATAGATGTATGTATGTTTTGTGTAATTTCATTAATTATAGTTTTGATGGCCTCGGTGGTCTATCGGTTTAGCTCACCGCTTTACTTCCGATGGCCGCGGGTTTGTTCCTTCACACGGTACAAACATACATATTTATAAGTACATTTATTAGTGTCGGTTTGGGTGTTTTCTGCATAGCTTGGGTGGTGCTGGGTGTGAGTCCCTAGATATTATTATTTTTTAATACGTCAGTCCACGTGGTTACTTGAAAATACATCATTATATAAGTTTTCCTTTAATTTAGATGCATGGTAATTTGTCAGATCTTCAACTCACTGCAGTCATAAAATGATAAATAGAATAGAATAGAAAATTATTTATTCAAGTAAACTTAAATTAAGCACATTTGAATAGTCATAACATTTTTTTTATCTACCACTCGTTCGGAAAGCTGTCTCATTACAAGAAGAACGAGCAAGAAACTTGTGTGTTGCTCTTTGAAATAATTCTTGTAAGTTTACATACATACAAGTCGAAACGTGTGAATACAAACTACCAACCAGCACAATTTTTTTTGGTCAAATATAAATATACAATAAGATTAAATCATATATATTATAAGGCGTAGTGATAAGAGCAGACCAGTCCCTACAAGCAGCACTCGTTCACGAGTATGACGGATGAGCCAGCCATCACTGCGCTCGACCTGATTTTAGGGAGGCCAATAACCCGGCCCACCACGCCACCACATGTCTGGACATTTTAGTGAGCATGACTACCTATTCCACTCGATCACGTCACAGCTACTTAAAATTACTATATGGTAGTTACAGTATACAAATATAATATCGGTTCCTTTAAATTAATATCAATCTGTTCTTGTATGTAATTTTGTATCTGCAAAAGTTTGTATTTGTTTTTGTTTGTATTTGTGTTTATATATGTTGTAAGTACGGCCAATTTAAAATAAAAAGTTTATTAAATCTGTATGTAAAACATTTTTTGAGGAAACCAATATATACCAACATATACAACAGTCAGTGTAAGTAAAAGATCACGAAATTTTATAGTGATCTAAACATCTGTAGAGAGAGATCTTGAAGTGATAGCATGACAAGACGTTTTATAAACCAAATGTAGTAAAAAAATATTTTACATATACTTTAAAGTAAAGACATACACTTACTAAAAATAAATAAAACAAAATAATCAATCAATTTTGTTTTATTTCTAATGTTTATTTTACACGTACTTTATAGTACTTACAACCATAGAGAATAATTTTGTGTTATTTCTACGAATATAAAAATATTGCTAAATTTAGATAAGTGACATAGTAGATATACATACATTAGTATTCTAGTACGCTAACACTATCACTAATAAATTCGTATAAAAAATTGGAAAGAGCACAAAACGAATTCCATTTATGACGCACATTCAGTTATCTTATTTCGTAGCAAGTACAGAAACGAAGTTACATGTGTAGTCGTCACTTAAGCATCCCGCCTGAGGGATTTTATTGAGTTTGAGTGTGCTCTTAAAGGCAGAATCTTGGGGAGTATAAGATTTAGCTGACGTCATTTTACGACTATTTCATTAATGTATTTTTTTAATAGTAGTTTTACTGTACTGTACACCCTGTTATCATTGGTTTTTTCTTTTGTATGTACTAATAAAGTATTGTTTTGTATGTTTGTGGGTTTAAGTTATTATGTACCAAACTGTAAGTTACTGTTTTCAACCGTTAATATTTATAGAGATAAACGTTAATATTTATAGAAATCTTACCTTTTTACCAAACTGGTAAGATAGTAAAGGAGTGGGTATACCAGCACTTTCAATTTCATTGCAAAATATGTAAAACGTATTTTAAACGTTTTACATATTTTGCAATGAAATTGAAAGGTTAATATGAGAATAAAAAATGAAAAAGTGACTACGAAACGTTAGGATTACATATAAAAACATTGATTAGTATTTATTGAAAAATAGTAACAGACAAACTAGTTATACTAAACAAACAAAATAGTTTGGCTATTTATTTAGTTCACATTGTGAATATAATAAAAAATGTATTTTTTAATCCTAAAGTTTGGTGATGTCTAGAGTATCAGAACGAATTTAGTTGATCTTTTTTTCAGGGTATATATAAGCCTACGGTATCACCACATATAAATAAAGCATTGGTTGCTTCTTAATTTTATTAATAAATATTGCTTTTCAATTTATTTCATAAAATAAATTTTTAAGGCTACAATGTTGGTATTTAATGTAATCTATTATATTTCTTTGTTTAAACAATTGGATATCAGTTTTCAAATATAATATGATTTTCCACAATGTTCTTTCTCTATTGTCGGTAACTAATTTAAATTATTTCAAAGTTATTACTTTAGCTAGCAATAGTAATTTTATTGTTCTAAATATTCACTTATTATTTATCAGTATTTTAAATGTAAACAATGTATGTGTAAAAACAACTTATTCTAAACCTAAAGTAACATTGAAACTGATAGTAGTATAAGCTCGGCTTTCGGTTCGCTTGGTAGCCATTATTCAGCTGCCATGGTTGTAGATGTTAAGGGTTGATGGATTGAATATCAGCGAGCAGTGACCTAAATGTTTTACACATGATACACAAGAGAGCAAATGTTATGGTTCTACTAGATGGAAAAAATAAAAAAATATAAAATATAATTTGTTACTAAATAAAACTTCACGATTTTATATATTAAAACTTCAGTCATAATTATGTTGAATGTTGGTTTTGCACGGTAAATATGAATTGAATGTAACAGGCGGGCGAGCCTATCGTTCGGATTATTTAGGATCACCGGAGGGTGATGAAAACGCAAATAATAAGCCTATATCACAAAAAAAAAAAAACAGTCAGAAATGTAAAATAATAATAAAATACGACTCTTAAAATAAATTTGTGCAAAAATATTTTATTTTAGTATACAATAAAAACAATTTCTTTTAATCTAAAAATATTAAAATTGCTAATATTTTAGAGTTCTTTCATTAAAAGATGAGATACATGTAGGATTATTTTATTGTCACTTTATCAGTCTAGATCCGGACCTTTTTTTTATTCAAGCCAAATCTTCTTTAAGAGATCTATTCACATTCAGACTGACGAATGAGTACTTTATTCCTAAAGCTTCTCTGTATTCTACGCAACACTTTCGCACTTCTGGATCACATGGATCTGAATAATCATTGCTATAAAAAATATTACATATATTAGAGTAATTAAAAAAATCAGGAAACAGCGGTAGATCGGAAATCAATCATAGCACCTGAGCAGTACAAAAATTCATACTAATATATAGCGGAGGGTGTCGGTATGTTTTTCTATTTGTTATCAATTTCGGATCTATGAAATTTGGCGTAAAGATATATGGTATGGTATTACGAGGACAGGCGACTATATTTTATATTGCCGTATTTGTATTTAGTATACAGTGAATAGCTATAACTCACAGACAGTATCGTAGTATTCGTAGCACTATTTATCTAACCACTCTGAGCGCTTTTATTAAACGAATTCTTCTTACTCGCCGATTGGAAATTCCCAACGGCCAGCGAGAATTCGATTAAGCCTGTCGTATGCCTGCGTCTTGTTTATTCCGCTGATACTAATGAAATGTGGTTTCTATTCTATTGTAGTTTACGAAAGAAAAAATCTGTCGTTTCTGTAAAAACCACCTTAAATTTGAACCTATTTCCTCACCCTCAATATGAATAATGAATTTTAGATGTGAACAAGCAATAAAAACAGATACTGGTAGTTAAAACGAATAGATGCATTAATATTTAGGTTATGATAAAAAAACAGAAATTTAACCTTTACATTGTTAGGATTATTTATTCCTTTTTTATTTTAATGATCTTTTGTTAGATCCACATATGGTCAAGGTTGAACTCAAAGTTTCTTTACGGAACAAAATTGGAAAATTACTGTACATTAGTGAATAATATAATTTTAGTTTGTTTTCTCATGTTTGTACACAGATGCCTCGTTTCAAAATTATTCGACGTATGCTCGAAGTCGACCCCTGAACAAATGGAACAGTTGGAGGAGATCCGAATACCTTGGGGCAGCGGCATCGTCGGCTACGTGGCCGAGAGCGGCGAGCCCGTCAACATACCCGACGCTTACAAAGTAAGTTATCATATATTATCGTATAAATAAGTGATAACAATTTTAATTTGCAGAATTTCTTATATCTTATAATCGTATTCTTATTTATTCAACAAATTTGCCTCTGCGTACCCCAATATGAGACTGGAGTGATGATACTGTATTACGAGTTATAGAGTCGAATGTAAACATGCAATCTTTGCGAGAAATTTCAGTCATAAGTTTAAAATACTTACGCTAATACCAAAAGATAAAAAAAAAATAGTACTATAAAAGCAATTCTTCTTAATTATCTTGAAAACGCTAACGCAATACTCTTTTCTACATTTAGCTTACTAAAATTTATTTATGATATTTTCAATGATTGTTAGTTCATGAAGAAACATGGTACTAAATTATCAAATTATACTTTTCTTTTTGATAATGAGCCTACTCCGCAGTTTGTTCTTTCATTCGAAGTGAAACTAGATAAGAAAGTACAAGTAACTTTATTCCATACTGATTGTAGTGAACTATCTTTTAGATATATCAAAAGTTAGATTAAATTCGATCTCTATGAAAATTTGTAGAAAGTGTTCATAGTAAATTCTATTTACCGTTCAATAGTAAGAAATGACAATACAATCTACAGATGATAGACTTAATACATAGTCATTTGCATGAGTGTCCTTGTATCACCTATTGCAGCCGCCAAGCAGTTTACTTTGTAAGATGTATTTCTATTATTGAGATATGGTAGTGAAAGTGTAGGCATGACATCTTAGTTCCCTAGAATAGTAACGCACGGGTTGAACCATGGGTGCCACAGGATAACGTGATGCCCTTGGTGCTGACTATGTATTTACGCAATGGTTACCACTTACCTTCAGGTAAATATTACCTGAAGGTAAGTGGTAACCATTACAATTTATTCCAAATATATAAAAAGAATCTAAATAATTAAATATATAAAAATTCCAGCACATACTTCTACGTATAAGGGCTAATTCAAAAAAGAGTTATAATGCATTAGTATAATAAATTACAAATAAAAGACATTAGAATAATAAGCAATACTCGTCTCTTAGTTGATACCTCCATTCAACGAGAGAACGATCTTTTGTGTGGTGTGTAATAATAGAAAATAATAAAATACTGATGTTAAAGCATGGTTAATTGAGGAAGTAACAGCAGTAACGCAATATAGCATTATTAGTTTGTAGATGTAATAGAAATATAATTATGCCAATAGTTCTGTAGGTATCAAAGGGAAGCATATTTTTTTTATATAAATGTCAACTTTTTTTTAATACATAGACTATGTATTATTATTGTTTTTAACAGGTACTGCATACAGAGATGACATTTATTTTCGTAATATTTTCATACTTTGATATTTGGTTTGATTGACGTTTTTGTATACTGAGTAGTACACGACTGGCAGAAAATACTGCAGTATAATATGATAATCTTATGTACTTTACAGTACTATATTTTACTTTATATTTATAGCCATTAAAGTCATTTAAATAAAATGATTATATTACGTTTTTATTTTAGTTGTAATAATATTCTTAATAAAAGTAAAAATCTTTAAGTGTACATTATGTATTTAGCGTAATATAATTCTTTAATTTTTATATCACCATTAGTCATATTTTATTTGAAGTTCACAGTTGGAGGCAAGCGTAAATCATACTTATTTATATTGGCAATAAAGACGACTGTGTTATGGCCATGTTAATAAAACTTCAGAATATTATAGTACTGTTATAAAACCCCAAGTTTAGTTAAATTTTTATTACTAAAGTTCTAAGTAAAATAAATGCTTTTCTATATTTATGTTTATATGCCTTATACTAGCATGTAGAATTTTTATTTCTGTATAGTGTGAAGTATAACGCCACAGTGCATTGGCTACCCTATTTTGTTTTATTTTATTTAATTAAAGCTCTTTCCTTATTTAAATGCTTAGATGTGGTTACATACTGGATATATGTGCATAAAAAGGGTTAAGTTAAAAGTCCTCGTAACCGGAGTGCTTGTATGAATAGATTGATGAATTTGGAGGAAGCAAGACATTCATATAAATTGGAGCATTTAGGTATTCCTGTCAATGAAATTGAAGTCATATAATCTACAATTTATATATAATATAGAGCCGGCTGTATAATTCTATAACTAACAGTTAGAGTGGGAAATGTAAAAGTGGCTAATTACTGTAATTATTGTGACTCTTTACATTTTTATTGTCGTTGTCGTTTATTGTTATGAATGCATAAACATAGACAATTATAAAGATTATAACAGAATTACATTAAAAAAATCTATTAAATTAAAACCTTTTATAACAATGGAAAAAATATTTACCAATAGTAATCACAGTATTAGAAGATCTAATAAACCATACCAATAATAATATAACTCAAAATGTGAGTTTTTTTTTTGGGATAAAATTTAATAACTCTTTAGGCGTCTTAAACAATGAATTACCATAATTCAAATCCGACTAACACGTGTATAATCCTATTTTCTCATAAATATTAATATAATACCAAAGTAGTCTTTTTCCTGGTAAGGTTAACTGAGATTACCGGAATATATGAAAGTAGAGAACAAAAAATTAAACGATAATACCCTTTTACGAGCAACCATTAAACAATGACAGTAGCAGGGCTTGCTCCCTCTTTTATACAAACAGTTTGCGATGAACATGGCGGCAGTAAGCAAACTTAGTTTAATACTCACTTTTTTTACTGACCAGATTTCCTTGATGTTTCCGACTCGATGTAGTCATCATGATGTAGAGCGTGAAATTACTGAATAATTTTCTGTTGTAGTTTTATTGCGGATTGATTTTCGGGATTTTATTAATTTCTCGCGTTAAACAGCACTGTTTTCGTCCTTGTTTCCCTTTGAATAGTAAGTTTAAATCTACAACAGACATGTTGTTGTATTTCTGAACATTTAATACCACCGTCATGTGGTAGACCATCAGCTTATTTACCTTCTTCGTAATATTAAACGTTTAGTTCCCAAAATACATTAATCGTGCCAAAATTCGAATATAGATTACAATTCATAATAATTTCTAGATATAAATGCACTGCATTTCACTGAAAGATATCACTCTGGGTTTTTAAAGTAGTTGATCATCGATCATCACATTAAAGATATCATTTAATGCATTATTAAAACTGTTATGTCGCTAACAAATAGCACGTAGCAAATACATATATTTACTATGATATTAACTACTACTGTAGCTATAATGAGGTCATCTGTAGCAACGGGACTTGACTTACATAAAATTGGATTTATTCTTTGGTATGTAAATAAGGACTGTGAATAAAAATAAATTTTATTCCTTCCACATCGTATAGTATGATCTTTGCTTCATCTCCTGTTTTCTGATTCATATTATCGTAAGAATTCTGAGCGCGCCTCACTGTACGGTTTCTAGTTTGCATTGATGTTCTCTTAGTACAAAGTTAGTGTTATGACCCTCATTTTTATATTTATTAAAAAGAATATGAGACCCCTATTTAATTAACACTAAATAAAATAAATTTTAACTATTTTTTCTGTGCAAATTGTATTTGAAACACTAATTATTGATATGGGAATTATATAAATTTAATGAAATATACAATGATTCTGTTCTCATTCTATGTGTATTATATTATCATGTTTAATTAATTTCATGATATGAAGCGCCGTACATTGTGTAATTAAGATTTTGGATTTAATTTTCGATTGAGCTGGTTTAGGTGAAACTAATAGGCATAATTTTAACAAAAATCATTCATATTAAAATTTCAGAACTACAATATTATTATTGTTTATAGATAATATATTGAAATACTAAAAGAATGGAAACTCCTAACATGAAGATAATTTCGTAAAGCTTTGAAAATTGAATGAACAAAATACATTACTCGCAGTCTTATATCGAGTCGTTTATAATAAATTGATGCGAATAAGTAATGAATTCACAATGGAAAATCCGAAGTGCTTTTTCGTCTAAAAATTTTATATAATACTTACTTATTTATATATAGTACTATACAATACTTGTTTTCTATAATATAATATGATGTGGGGTATTAATTGTATAAATAATTTTACAGGCACAGGGATATCACGTTAACAATATTCATTATTATAACTATCGTCTAAAGGTTTATTATAAGACTAGTTGTATACGCGGTGTTGTTTGCCTATATTCTAGATTTATGGCTTGTAATTCCAACTCTCATAAGGACAATTTCTACATAAAATTGAAGATATTACTCAAAAGAATGAAATACATAAAATTGTTATTTTACATAATTACAAATCAGAATTTGAGGGAATGAAAAAACTAATCACACGAAGGAATAAGAACATTTTGAACAACAATAACTAATCTACAATATATTGTATTTTCTATTTAATCTGTTAGAAAACAACATATAAAAACTTGTTTATGGATACATAAAACTGACCTCGTCTATTTCATTAAAGAAGTATGGCCCAGCAAAACCATAGCCGGAGTTTTATTCATTAGTATGTATTCAGTCTATCCCGAGATCCAGTGGAATTCATTCATCGAACTGAAATGAAATCTCGTACTTATTTGATTTGCATGCGGTTTCTTGCTTAGTTAGGAATTACATTTGAAAGATTTAATTTGCATAGCCTTCATTGGATTTGTTTTTGTAGGAAATTGATCAGATAAGCGGTATTCATTTATTTAAAAGTCAATTATAATTATAAATCAAAAGAGAAACGTTATTTTCTAGAGTACGAGTTTTTTTTATATCGGCCATATTTAAGAGATTTCAAGGTAATATGCGAACGTCGCGTACTCTCCCCGATCTTCATCCATTTTTAAAATCCTTGTTAACATAAAAATAATTTAATGTAATTAAGAGAGTTTTAAAACAAGATCATATCCAAGTATATACCAAAATCATCTGGACATTTTTCATTAAATCCCACAGTCGGATAGTTTAGGTCTAAGATTCGGTCTAAGACCAGAGAACATAATTTATCCCTGC